CCAGCAGCCGGTGGGGCGGTTGCCGTTTTTCATTTCGTTTTGTTTTTCAAACAGCAGTTTCTCACTTGTTCACTGCCCCAAAAGTAAATTTGGTTTTGCACTGTATTTCTATGTTGTGTAAAGACAAATTATTAAAAAAACCAAACCCTTTTCCAATTACTGTTGTAAAAATAACAAGAAAAACAAAAAAAAACCCAAACCAACCAAGAAACCCTAAACACTATAAATTTATAAAAAAGTTACAATTCTTCTTTTACCTCCATATTTGCTTTCTGCAGCTTAATCTTTCTGCAGCTTAATCTTTGAGCTTTACTCATAAATTTACAATTATGACTTGAAAATTCCCTGTGGAACTGTTCTACATATATGCACAAGAAGAATGATCTCCGAATCCTTACCTATGAAGCACATTGATTAACAGTGTATAGTCCTGGAGGAAATCATCTGCTTGTAGTCGCGTGCCGTTTCGAATTCCAAAGTCTGATAATTTCCTGTGGTTATTTGCTAGAAAAACAATGAAAAACTGCAATGTATACAGCTATTTATATAAAGATCCTTTACACCAGAATAGGTACGATGAAACACGTACCCCAGAAGTTTTATGCAGAAACACAAGATTAACATTTATTAGCCATATTTAAAGTTAAGGCTGACATTTAAGCCTATCAGGAGTTAAAACTACTACGTTTCACTTATTTACCCCTCATGCATCACGTTCAACTGCTTCACTGTTACTACATTTAGGAACATTTTGGAGATAATATCTCCATTCCAATAATGCCTACAAGCATCATAAAAAGGCCATAATCTAAGAACAAGAAAATGAACGGGACTTGCAAACAGAGGAAAAAACCCTGGTGTTACTTTTCGAGCTGAATACCTACTGCAGAAAGGAATCCTGACACGCCAGGTGAAAAGTGCTTTACATGGGAAAGCTGAACTGGACATGCAGGCTTGGAGACAATGCCACTAGCTACGCTCGAGCCACTTAAATACCTGCAAGTCTAGTTCTCTTCAAATATTAGCCTACAGGACAAACGCCAAAACATTTGCTAAACTTCCATTCTGTAGATCTTGGTTTCTTCCTAGTTTTTATCTACTTTTATCTAAAAAGCTTCAGTGTGCACACCTTCTGTTTCTCCTTCTTCTGAAGAGATAAGAATAGTTCCTTTTCCATCATCTATTTGTACATCTGGTGCTACCATAGCAAATTTTTCTTTCACTATCTGAAAAGACAAATATGATTATTTAATCAATATCCGACTTAAAAATACTTACAAAAGAAAGAACCCTGAATTACATTGATTTTCTCACCCTGGCTCACTTTCAGGCATCTGCTGAAAGCCTAGACTTTTTTTTTTCCTTCCATGAACAAAATAATTGTATTTTTGCTGTCTGAAGCCTACAGGTTCAGATATGCTGAAAATTTTTTTAGAATACTTCATAAAGTGACAGAATTCAAACCAGCTGTGACTACGCAACTGTAATGTGGCCACCTACAGAACTATTCAACTGAAATACAAATTTAGTCTTTTGCCGTTAGATACGAATAGGCTTTTCAAACACTCACGTTAGCAAGAAGCACACTGGCTAATTGAGCTCTTCTTGTAGCTGAGAGAAACACAAAATGTAGAGCAAATATAAACAGCCAATGTTCAGTTAAAAGATACTGAACGAAACCCTAATTTTAATAATTTACAGTATTAGAAGCAAAATGAAAGCTGTAGCTAATAGTCACGATTTACCTTGTCCTGGAGTGTTAACACCGTAACTTTGTGTACATTAAGTTTCACGGTCACTTCTGGCTTACTTGCACATACATAACAGCTAGGATTTGGTGGATCCAAAGCACAAGGAACCAATAGCTTCTTTCTGGGATTTGGTTGCTTGTTCAGAAAAATCTTGAGGACAGACAAGAATAAAACCAGTTATTCTGTGAGTAACAGCGCTGACAGAACCTGTTTTCCTCCAGATTTATTCCCTTAGTCTCACAGGCTGTGCTCCCTAATCCCCTCTGGCGTGCATGCTGAACAGGAGGAAGGGCGTATTACGGCCAGCCCGCCGCGACACCTGAGCTGACCGACCAGCTACCGCCAGACCGATCCGCAGCGTGAAACAACCGCGTTTTGAGGGATGTCAGCCTGTTCTCTCTCCTATCCAGCAGCCAGTTATCATTAAACCAGAGGAATTTAATGATCCTCAAGACTTTCACAGCTCCTTTCATGCTGAAAGTTCCCAGCACATTCATAATCTACTGAAGCGACAAGTGAGAGACAGTAAAACTACACAACAGTCAAAGCAGGTTCAATGTGACTTTTAAACAAATAACAAGACAGCAGAAGGATCTTATTCCCACTTACCGTTCTACACTGATCTATTTTTCCTGACAAAATCTTCAAACCCTCCAGCACTATCAGACCAGCTATCACTGCATTAGTAGTAGCTATAGCTGGGATAATATTTCCTGCCATTGCTGCAAAATAAGCAAGAGTACGCAGATTTTTAACAGCAAATGAAAATCAAGTTTAGATTATTATTTAAATGTTATATATTTATCCTTACACTTGATATCAAATCTGCTCTTCATATTCATACTGAAAACATGCATCCTGAGGTTCGCAGCCGAAGTGACAAAATCCATTGCAGAAGGGTCATCCTGACAAGAAGTTAATGCAAAAAGTATTTTAAAAAAATCAGATTAGTCATTGGAAAAAGCTTATAACTCATGGTTCCTAGAATTGTAAAAACAGAAAGTTTAAAAAAACCCTCTGTACAGTATTCCATTTCAAAGTCAATCTACTTCATCTTCCAGATGGTATGTTTAGACAGAGCAGTAATACTTTCAAGACGTGTTTAGAAATTGTGCTTAGTATTTTAGCAGTGATTTAGTGTATTAGTATTAACAAAATGCCTCATATTTTCAAAATAATGTCTAAATCCTAAATCTTACAAAGCTTTATGCTCAGTTTCAAAAACTGTTGTTTCAGAAACAAGAATTATTTTTACCATCTGTTGTAATACTATTTTACCATTCCCTACCACCCCCCCCCATCTTTACAAACTACTTTTTTTTCTTATGCCAAACAAGTGACTGCAGGAAGATTACAACGTCTCTGGTGCCAAAAGAGAAAATTCCCTTCTTGTTTTTCTCGAGCAAAACTCGCACTGTATCACACACCTACTGTCAGAGCTAATTACTACGTACAACTCAGCAGAGCTCTAGCTACAAACCACTGTATAAGAGCACGCTTTAGAGAAAGCTAGAGCAAAGGAAAAAATGAAGTTGCATTATTAAAATATTTTCAAAAATCAAAATATGACAAATACTTCCTAATTTGTGCTTTTTAAAGTTGGTGAATTAAGTTATTTTACATCACAATAGTTAATCTTTACACTCAGTGAGTTAAAAAAGACAGAATGTTTAACATACGCATGTGTTTACATACGGAAAGTGCTTTTAGTGAGGTGCCAGACATTTTCGTTCCAAGTAGTACTACGTTGAAATGAACCTGAATGAGTCCAATTAATATTTGTACTACACATGTAGAGTAGAAATGGCTCTTGTAAGTTTGGTAAACTAACCTTATCCCATATGAGCTCTGCTCCATCACCCTTCTCAGCCAGGTGAAGTCTCAGGGTTTCAACACTCTTTGAAAATAAGTGTGCGTAGCTCCTGACATCGAGAACCTGCTGATCCTTCAAGACTGCGGAGGATTCATTTTGTTGCTCAGATGTGTTTTTCCCTTTGGTAAAAAAAAAAAAAAAATAAATAAGATCAAGAATACTTAATAAATCCCGCAGAAGTTCTCCCAAAGAGCTAAGAATTTTCCAATTTCAGCAAAATTAAATATTTTCTAAATGGAAGAACAGCATCTTTAAACTACAGTAGCCCCAACATTTTGCAACAAATCTGCATTTAAAACTGCAGCTATAGCTATACTTGCATCAATTGCCCAGACATGCACAATTACAGTAAATTTTCAGCAAAACTCAGCTTTCAGAGATAAATGTATCGGTGTATGGTAAGGTCTCCTAGAATAAGCTGACATCCAATTTTGTGAAATATGAATTTTCCACAGCCAATACCAAGTACCTAAAATAACAACTGCAACACAGTTTTAGAAAAAACATTTTCTACATGAAGAAAAATTTAAAACCTTCAGAATATGTTCATTATCAGTACTCAACAGTGACAGTACAAAAATGTACGTATCCCAGAGCTGCATTACTCAACAGCAGGTATGGCTTGCACATATACAGTGGGAGGAGGGACACTTACCTTGATTTTGTACCTCAGTCCAGTCCAGTGGCACTGGCGGCTTTCTTTTTCTCCATAGCTTTTCCTTTGTCAGCAGGTATCTAATGTCATCTTTGAAAAGCTAGGAACCATTTAAAAAAAAAAACATAAAAAAAACAAAAAACAAAAGAACAAACATTAAAATGAAAAGGAAAAAAGAGACATACTTTATATCTGCTGTGAAATTGAAAAATCAGCATTAGATTATGAGGTTTTGCTTTTCTCCTTGAAAATATTTTCACCACATAAATAAAAAAACCAAACTCTGCAGGAGAAAAAAAAAAAATATTCTAAAGACTTCTTATTCCCCATTCTCTAACACTTATTGCATAAAGTAGACACAGGTCTGCTAAATTTGAGAGTGAGTAAAGTAAAAATCAAGAAACAACAGTCCAAACAGTGGGTTCACGTGCCTACTGAAGCCATCACTACAGTGATTTGTATACTCTCCCTGAGATATTCTTAATTATGTGCCAATGAATTATGAATTTCCAAAGTAAAGTTACTATTACCTATCAACATCACACTCTATAATAATTTCTTCTATTTATCCACTCTCAGCAACTATTCAGAAAGAAAACCCCTAAACCAGTTTGTATTTTTGTATCCCAGAGTCTGATTATACACAGAAGACAACTGATAACTTTTAGGTCCTCAGAATGGTTCTGATTATGCCCAGTGGAACTCCTACAGAATTCAAGTTTATCTTTTCATATTAAAATACATTTTTTTCTTTTTTGCACAGTATGGAGAAGCTGCTAAAGCTGTCTGTACAGATGCAGACGGAATGCCGTAAAACAAGCAAGTGTTGTAGAACACCAACTCTACAGCAGAACTGATGGAACTCATGACATAACTGCATGATTGATGGCTAGCAGTAAGTGTCCAACCCAGGGTTTGACTTCACTTTAAAGCACCTCATACACTTCAAATAAAGACATTTATTGGGGGTGAAGAAGATACCTTAGTAAAAAGTTTAACTGGATCGTATCCAGTTGATTTAGCCCACTCCTTAGTTGAAACACGTTTAATCTCACCATCTTCATTGGATGCTCGTGCTCTGGCTTCTGCTTCTGCTGGCTCCCCTATTAATAAAGTGTCAAGCAAGTATTTTAATTCAAAACAAGGAAAATCACATCCAAATACTTCCCCTAGAGTCAATAACCAAAGTTATGCAGGGACCATAAAATGGCTTTACTGCGCCCAACAAAAGCTGTGCTAGGCACAGTGCGACCACTCCTGTTTGCTTCTGCAACTGCGGCTCACTAACTCGACTCCATGCCACCCAAATCCTCGACTGGCAGAAACAGTGAACAATTGTTTCCTATTAACTTTCTTCACATAGCGTTGTGATTTCATAAATCTCTAACCATCCCCTTTTAGTAGTCTCTTTTCCTAGCTGAAGAGTCTTAGTTTGGTTAGAATTTCAACACACAAAAAAAATCAGCTTCTTACCTCTGGTCACCCTTATACCACAAAATTCCATGCTTACAGATGCTATTAATTTTGTGTTTCTTTCCCAGTCACATCCAGCAATCACTATCATGATTCCTAATAAGCAGCAGATCGATATTTTCATAAAACTATCTATTAACATCTTGACTGAATGAGAAAAATCAACTCAGAGACCATCAATTTACATGTCAAATTGTGAATGTTTCCCCCCTTTCACCAATGCGTTATTTGCATCATTTCATATCTATCTGCACCAAACCTACCCAATGTCTCGTTGCCCAGTTGCCCTGCATTGTGAAGCCTTCTACTACTTTTTGCAGTTAGCCCTCATCTTTATTATTCTGAGTGACTGCTTAGTCATGTACACTGAATAGCACTGGTCCCATCCCCAACCTCAAACACTCCTCAAATCCCCAGTTATCTCTTATCATTGAAGTAGTTTATCCACTTCAGGATCTTCATCCTTTTTTTCCCCCCCATGGCTCCTTCACTCCTTCAGGTTCCTCACCAGCAGCTTTTGAGTGGCCCCGTGCAGATTCAGAACAGCGTAAGCCAGATACGCTTCTCTGCCGGTTTGCCCATTCCTTCGCAGGACCAGCAGAGCCGCACGAGGCATGACTTCCCCTGGCAAAGGCTGCACCGACTCTTCCCTGATACACCACCTGTGTCCACTGATTCTGAACAGCACTGTCGCTACAGACACGAAGTTACAGCTCAGGCTTTCCTATAATTGCCCTGGCATCTTTAAGTAAGCGACATTGTGTCTGCTACCTTCCATGTGTTCTAGCAGCCGTTGTTTTATGTGAGTTTATACGCCGCTCTTTTTAAGACTCAGCTATTTCATTCAGCACTTCCTGTAGGAACAATCTGTCAAGTGATCATTATCTGACATTTGGATAATCTAAAGAGCCAGACGATCCTCTAAGCTCCCTCCCCCAAGTCCATTCTTCTGTCAAAGTATCCAAAAAATGCTTATTCACCTTCACAGTAACTATGGTTACTGTCCTTATGGAAAAATACTGAATAGCTACAAAAACATCACTCAAAATCGGCATATTTCCGATGTAGATTAAAACTGAAGTGTTTCAGGCTAGAAGAGTTCAAATACAACTCCTGTATTTCCTTGCAATCCCTCAGTTTGAAAGACAAGCCTCCCAGCTGCAGGGAAGGACGCGCTCCATTAAATCCAAACATATGGGGGAAAAAAAGGCCACCCTGTAAGACCAGTTGTATTTAATCTGTACTTCAAGCTCACTTCTCAGTTCAGGTTTCTGTGCACACGGGGGAGACCATTTGCTGCAGAGGGAACAGGAGTCTCCAAACAGACACAAGCCTGTTGATCTAAGTCATGTGTCTTGCACCTGGATGTGTTAACTGAACTTAATGATTAGCAAGTGCATGGACTGTGTTCCTCCCAGCTGTTCTACCCACACTAGCTGAGAACAACCAGCAAACGCCACTGACCCATCTTACCCTGTATTAGAAAGTTTTCACAACAGCTGAAGTAATCATTTTAATAATGTTTTAGGCTGCCCACAAGGGCCACAGTTCTGACATGTGAAACTATTAAACTGTTGGTCATTCTGAAGAGTATTTTTTGCACATTCTCCATGCAAGAACCTCTGGTACGCACTATGCATCAAGTCCACTAAAAAACACTGAAATTGTTTCAAATATCTAATCAGCAGCAGTATGAAGGAACCAAATGATGCACAGTGTACAGGAAGGCCTGTATGGGGAACTACTGCTAACACCCCAAACTGTCGTTGTTGAAGGGTCCAGTAAATTGAATCCTCTTAAAAGAAAACAGAACTGAACTCTCTAACCTCACGAAACCTACAAGAAACAAGCCACAATCTCTGAAATAGAATGTTTCAGTAACAGGGTAAGCTACCAGCTTATGTCACACTCACAGGCAGCTTCAGGATCAGCTCGGTCAGGAGAGACTTCTTGATCAGCATCTTCTTCTCCAAACAACTGGCTATATAATAATCAAGAGCAACAACACAACACTAGAATTTCATCCTATGTGGTTAAAGACTGAAATATTTGCTAACGGATACATATCCACTTTAGAATTCTTGCTATCAGAGTGCTACTTCATACATTGCTTTTTAATGTGTTGGGATTCACCACATACGGACTTAACTCTGACAACACGAAATGTCCAACACAAAAATGAATTTAGCGAAACCGTTCCGTATAACTCACTCAATAGTTCACCCAGCCTTATATTTGTATTGCAGTACTGAATGCATTGCTTATAACCCTCCAGGATCCCAGCAAACTGTACATCTGTTAATACTTGCATTAAACTGAAAAACGTGTTTAACTTCACAGAAAGGTGAAGAATAAAGTAACGTCAACCCACACTGCTGTGCCAAACTACTCTGTCAGATATTCTGTGATATCAGAGCAAGGCCTAAGAACTAAACAACCTTCCATCTCTAGATTAAAAGAAAAAATAAAACACCCCACCCAAAAGCCCAGGTCAAAGAACTGGAGTGTTTTGTTATTATCCACGCTGATTTAAAAAGAAAAAAAAACAACCACAAAAAATCCGCCCCCCAGCATGTATCCACTTTATTTCTCTGTCTGTAGGTTTTAAACCAGAAGAGTGAACAACAGTCCTTATTTTCTTTTTTAAAAAATCACTTACTTGAACAAATACTTAGCCCACACAATGCAATGGATAGGTTCTGATGGCGTATTTCGGATTGTGCAGCCTGGAAAAGTCTTCTGAGTTGGTTTAGGATGACATTCATAACACTCTGTCACTCCCTGGTGAAAAGTGAAATATTTACTTGTCACACTGTGAAGGCAACTGATAGTACCTGCTATTACCAGATGAACTGTAACTGTATCTCAAAACACCCAACTCCCTCTTGTCTAAAATAGCCAATGATTTAAGCTTAAAGTGACAAGAGGAATACACAGCCTAACCTTTTTAATAACTGTTACTTGTCCAAGGTAGCCTGCAGTTCCGCTCTCTATAAGAGGAACATCAGCAGCCAGACACATCCTGTTCACATGGTTACGGGCAGCTGCAAATCAAGAGTTTTTAAAGAAAAAATTGAATAATTAGGGGGAAAAAAAAAAAGTTTTACTTCTCCAAATTCAAACCAGCCTCCTATGCAAACTTTTATCCTTAATGTGCCTTATTTCGCCACAGAGCACTACGCCTCTTTCATGAAGTCAGCCTTCCAATTAACACACAATGTATCAACACTATCAAACACAGCAAACTCAACAAAGTTACGCATGTACACACAACACTCATCAGTTCCCATAAAGCAGCAACACAGCAGCTACTGTTTACTTTCGAAAGATCTGTAGAGGCACCGCCTGCCCTCTCAGGCTTCTCGCGAAGCACATGGGCACCAGTCAAACTACAGCCGGGTTAAGAGGATACTTGTGATTTAACTGACATTGCACGAGTACTAAGAGCAGAACACATTAAAGTTCCATTTCTATGAACAGGCAACAGCATTTTCATCTCCAATATAAAATCATAGTGAAAACTTCACCTCTGTTATCCAGAGCATTCATAACCAACGTAAACTGGCGGAAGAACTCTACATTATAGTCAGGGCTACAGGAAAGAAAAAACAATACTCAGTATGGCACATCAAAGTTGTTGGTGGTTATGCCACAACAGAAACTATACACATGCAAAGGGTGGATGGGTGTTTGTGTGATAAATTACACATTTTATAAATCTACTGCTAGCCTTTCACTGTTCCATTTGTCTTTTGCCCATTTCAAAGCTGGGTGAAAGCATGAATTTTATGCTGCTGGAAGGAAGCTATTGCAATCCGTACTAATTTGACCAACAAAACAAGTAGACAACGAAAAAGTGATTATATTGCTCTGACCTAATGAGTAAATTGGCTGAGCTGTAGTAACTGACCTTAAAAACCATCAGCTGAGGCTAAAATGGGCACACTGTAATTACCCCAGCTCATCAGACCGCTGATAATTCATTACACTGTGATAGCTCAATTGGTTTTGATTGTGCCTCCATACCCTTAGGAGCCAAGACATGGGATTTTTAAATCTTGACACTTCCATATCTTTACATGGCACTTTTCTGATTTAAAGAAGAGGTGGCAAAGAAGAGAGAGTGAAGAGGAAATAGGATTAAGGGTTTTACAGTTTCAGGAGAAGGATACAATGAGTCAGTGTTTCAGTGGCTAATAGCAATGTCAGGGTTCAAACCTTAATGCTACAGAATATCCGTTTTTAAGAAACTGGACAAATACAAATTAAAACACGGGAAACAGCTGATGAAAACCTCCATAATCTTGTACTCTACTCATTGGTTATGGATCATAAAGACTAAATTTTAACAGTTTGGGGAACATATAAACGATACCCAGTCACCTACACAGACACAAACAACTTCATTATTTTATCCACATTTCTCAATCAACATTCACATTTCTTTTAATCTAAGCTCAAGACATCTGGGCATCCCTACAGTGTACAAACTTATATAGGAAATGTTGCTAATAAAATGAAAAATGGACACAAGGAAATGACTACAGCTTACTGCCAGAGCTTAAGCAAACTCATGCAAAACGCACACTCCTGCTCAGGTGTGTGGCAGTCTCATATTTACAGCTATTTCTTCTTACTGCAGTAGCTTTGTAAGGTATCTTAAAGCACACCATTGTAGCATTTAAACAACACAGTACTTGCAAATCAAAACATGTAATTAGATCTTAAAAACAAACATACTTCATGATGCTGTCATGGTAAGCTATAATATTAGCTTCTGGATAAAACTGTAACACGCTTTCCTTGGCAACCTAGAAATAAAAAAAAAAAAACAAAAAACAAAAACACTTATTATTTCTTTCTTCCTTCTAAAGATAATAGACTCGATACCAGTTGAGTATCGAGTAAGTTGACTACCTTAAGAGATTAAAATACTTTTATAATGAAGTGTTGCGGATAGCCATGATCACGCAACCAATGCTTGTCTCCTTGCAGGAGATACAAAACTGTGACATGTTTCTAACACTGTCCATAAAATCATACTGAGGAAGTAAGACTTGAGCTTTGGCTTTTTCCTCACCTGGGATTTTGATCTTCCAACATGTTTCTTTTGAAACAAAAACTGCCTGTTGAGATTGCTGACATCAATAGTATCCAAATCAATCTACAAATACACAAGAGACAGCCATTTCACTGCTACAGAAATAAAAGGATCAAAATCATTAACACAGTTTGAAGCAAACGCGATTGACACAAAATGCATAAACTCCACAGACCCCTTTTCAGACCTGCACACAGGTGTTACACCTGCACTACAGTAACCGTGGAGGCACAAGCGATCATCTAATTATCTTCAGGAATCCATACATTTTGAATAACTACTAACAATGGAACACTATGTCAAAAATTATGGGCTACATGACAACACATTTTCTGAAGAAAGAGTCCCTACTAAAAATGCACATGAATTTTGAGATATGTATGCACGGTAGATAGTAGAAAGTCAATATCTGATCATCCTATTTACCAAATTCTCTCTTTCAGTGAGAATTCATCAGCAGCACAGTGTCCAGACTCGGAGGAGACACTGCAGAAATTGGTCTGGATGGGGCCAGCCAGCCTCTACACAGGACTCACCACTCTGAACATCAGCTTGGCGCCACGCTCCCCAAGGTCCAAGAAAGGCTACTCAGCTGACTAATTCGCACTTCTGCTCTGTATCTGAACACAACTTTGAGCAACTGGATCAGTAAACTAAGGGCTGCAGTGTCGTCTAATTCACATGCTGCAGGGCAAAAGCTTTCACTGTCTGCCAGCAGGACTAACTTCTCCAGTGCATATTAAAAAATTATGAAGTCTACTTACAAAAAAAAAAAATCCAATCAGGCAATCAAGATGTTTAAAAACATATACCACAGAACACCTGTGATGTGCAACCTCAAAGGCTGCCACGGCTGTAATTCCCCGAACAGCCATGTTTCTGTTTATTAACATGCGCACATCAACATCACAATTTCAAATGTCCTTACCCTCCACCACAAGAATGAAGAAGATTTAATTAGAACTTTGAAAAGATTTATTCCTACCTTTGTTGCCGCTACTTTTCCTTTAATTAAACAGATTCTCTGATCAACAACTCTCTTCAGAAGTCCTGTCCTGCCCTTAACAATTCTAACTATGAGGGGAGGGAGACAATTTTTCTGAGCCTCGGAGATATTTCTCCCAAATCCTCATAGATAATGCGGACATACTCAACGCAGCAATGCTTTCAGCTATATGCAGAGTACTATCAGGCCGACTGTGCAGCGTGAAGTTTAAATATGACCTACCGAGGATGTTCTCATACACTTTTAATTTTATTAACCAAACTTGAATAACGAAGAAGGTATGCCACACAATTCTCATTGAAGATCCTTTGCATGCGAGATCCAAGCTCTGAAATTAAATTTCCTGTTTTCTGAAGGGAGTATTTATAATTTAAGAATTAAGTTTTCATACACTAAGAACTGTAACAGCTAAAGAGTTTAAAACACCAAATAAAAGCACCTGTGGATATAGAGCAAACAGAAAAAACACCCTGTTTTAGAAATGTATTATTAAGCAGAGACTGTTAATCTTTACTACCCTAGCATCCTAGTAACTACCCGGGGACTTGTATCTCTTCATGAAAATGTTATTTGCATGAAAACACATTTCTACCTCCTTTCCGTTCTCGTAAGACTTACTCAGAAAGCTTGCTTAGTCCAAAGCCAAAAAGCCCGAGAACCTCAAGTGAAAATGATTAGGCACAAAACTCTGTCAAAACCTCCACAACCCGGCAAGCTTTTAGTCTTTTACCCGGAGATGGTAACAAGTGACATTGAGCTACAACTGAAAACAGTGCTACCAAGACCAAAAGAAGCAAAGGAAGTTTTTCTCCAAAGAGAATGCTTGAGACCATCCGACCTCAACAGAAGCTTCAATCTACCTAAGAACAATCACAATTCAACAGCTCTCTTATTAAAATGACTTTTACTCTGCTCCCATTTTTGTAAGTTAGAAGGAAAGGCCTTAGAACTTTCTAAAAATATATATGCACGTTCTTAATTCAGACTTAGATTTTGAGTAATGTGATTTTGTTCTTCAGTCATGAGGACAACATCACTGCCTTTCAACAAAGTATACTTAATGAAACCATATATTTGTGAGTTGTCTGGTATTCAAAACTACCAGGTTTATTTTTAGTATTAGTATTCTGTGTTAAAAAAATTCACAACTTATAAAAACACAAAGCATTTTCAGGTGTTCCAGTTTGTTACTATTTAATAACCAAGGAAAACCCTCAACAATATCACAAACGTTGACATCAGTGATTTATTCTCCTAACTGCAAATTTCCTCTTTGTGTAACAATTCTCTTTTGCTCTCGCCTTGTCTTTTGCCCACCGACTCAATCTGTTATCAAAACGTTCCTGTCTTGCATAAAACACTGCCAATGATATTTTTAAATGAAGATGGCCCTGATCCAACATGCACGTAAGTTAATGGATTCCAACCGAGTCAGCCTTGAAAGACAATAGAAAAAAATCAAACTATAGCAAGTGAAACAATAAGCATACACCAAGGAGATTTATGCCCAGTGACTAACTGGAAAATCAGGATATTAAACTCTTTGTATTTTAACGGACTGCGGGAGTACACAAGCGAGATTGCAAAGTAGGAAAAAAAAAAAGAGGGGAAAAAACAGTGCAGAAAATGCAGGCTTCCCCTCTTCTGCACATGTTTACTTCACCGGTACAATGTGAGAATTGGATTGGCTCTCAACGGCAGCCCAAAGTCAAAGGGACAATCTGGAATTACACTTAAGTTTTAAAAAGTATGCCAGTAGAAAGGCCTGAGCTGTACGAATAACAAGGCAAACCAGCAGCTGTACTCTTCTACAAGCTGATACAGTTTCAGATAAAAGCTGCTTCCAGCATGCTCCGCTCAACAAGCCTGACTGCAAGAACAAACTCCTCGCGACTTGTCACGCAGACCTCTCGATGCGACTCCCGGCCACAGGTAAGAGCGTATTCGAGGAGAGAGACCTGTGCTCTCGCTGGGTTTGCACTCCACTGATTTCTAAGGACCACACACTCTTCGTAACGACGACGAGAAATTAACAGAGGTCTGGAAACTAGGTAATGAGAATGCTGCTTAACAGTATTTCTATCCCGTTTTCACCCCCACCCTCTCAATTCTGCCCTGCCTACACGCATTCGGAGCTGAGCATCAGGAAGCAAAAGCGAAAGCAACAGCCCGCGGGAAGCTGGCGCGACCGGACTCCCAAAACTGACAGTTTTACAGCTCGGCGTCTAAAAATACGGCTCCCCTCCCACGCACTTCGCTTTCCGCTGCGACCCGTCACCGGACCATCACCCACAGAGCCGGCAAAGGCGGCAGCAGGCGGAACGAGGGCTGTAACGCGCCGCGCTG